GGAAATGGTCTTTTAGCAAATATGACAAAGTATGGTCATAAAAACTACTATTGCATCAACTGATCACCTAGAATCTTTAAATACAATTTTGGGAATTTAAGAACAGCCACAAAGATTGGAAAATGGGCCTTCTAGTCCAATACCAATCCCTGAGAAATAGTCATAATTAAAGGAAAACTGCAAAGTCAAAGCAGATGATAACAAAGATCTGGAAGAAAACTCCCAGAGGGGACATTTTTAAAGTCATACTAAACAGTTTAAACACTAAAATAAGTTTTCTTTAAGGCAGTATTATCATCACTGGGTGTTTTTTTTATCTGGGGTGAACACATCCAGCTCCCAAGCAGCAGCCTTCTTCACAGTTCTCAATACTGTCATTCACTGGCACTCTCTCCAGTTTCTCCTTCAGTTTAAAACAATTTCTTCCAATGCACGTAACCTTAACTTTCAGACTGTTGAATTTCAATCACAGCACAGTCCCTGCTCACAAAGACCTCAGAGACCTTTATCAGCTACAGCAAACCTGGGGGATTCCAGGCACACGTTCGTTTTGCTACTTCCATTTTCACCACCTCGTCAAGGTTACTTGAAGGGAAAACTGAAAGGTCCCTGGGACAGACACCACAAGATAGGTCCCTACATCCCTCTGATGTTGTTCTTTCAAGAAAACATTCATTTCTGCAAATCTTCTGCAGCACAAGCTGCAGCTTTCAGAAAAACTTTTGGAAGAACTTTAAATGCCTCTTATACATATTTCTTTACTAATAGATGGATGGATGTGAAAGACTTGAGAAAATACAAACACTGCCACTGATTTTTCTTTCTTACTCTTTTTTGTGAGGATTAGCAGTAAATAATTTTATCTTACAAAATCCAGACAAGACTGCCTATGCTGCATGCCTATTTAAATAAGGGAAATTTAAGTTAGGCTGTTGCCTGCAATTTCTAAATCACTGCCTACAGAACTCTTCATCAATACTAACCTTCCCAAACAGGTTTATTTTACTCAGCAATTTTCAGCTATCTCTTACAGAAACTTGAAACTAAAAAGAGACTTGAGAAAAGGGTGTGTAACAAAACAGTGTCTTGACACAAAGGGCCAGAATCAGCATCTGCACACAGAAAATTCAAAACCAAAGCAAAGTCAGTCTAAGCCATCTCATATCACACTTCCCTTTCCTCAGGGTCTCTCTTCACAGTCAGGCATAAAGCTCACAGGATTGTGCTCAGGAAAACAAAGTACCTAGAGTATTTCTTATCAAATAATAGAGTTAACAGTGCAGCCAGCAAGAGCAAAGAACTTTATTCTCCTTCATCAGGAGAAATGCTTTTCAGCTTCAGGTAATGGTACCTTACCTATGGTGATAGTTACCTTCAAAGCAAACCTAAGAGGATTTGCAAGGATGAGTACTGCTGCTAACAGGACTTGGTCTTAACATCCAAAAAATACTCACAACTCAGGTTTGAGAGTCAGATGCTTCGAATAAAACTAGCTGGAGAATGATGTACTTTTAATATCAAAAGTATTCATTGTCAAAGCATTAAATGTTGGTTGACAAACACCTTAGAAATGTAATTTATGATTTAAAAGAACCATAGAATCGTTTTGGTTGGAAGAGACCTTCAAGATCAACAAGTCTAATTGTTCCCCATCCCTGCCAGGTCCCCACTGCCCCGTGTCCCTCACACCACATCTCCACAGCTTGGAAACCCCTCCAGGGGTGGGGACTCCACCACTGCCCTGGGCAGCCTGGCACAGCCCTGGACAACCCTTTCCATGAAGAAATTGCTCATATTCGACCTAAACCTCCCCTAGTGCAACTTGAGGCTGTTTCCTCTTGTCGTGTCACTTGTTCCTTGGGAGCAGAGCCCGACCCCCCCCTGGCTCCAGGCTCCTGTCAGGAGCTGTGCAGAGCCAGAAGGTCTCCCCTGAGCCTCCTTTGCTCCAGGCTCAGCACCCCCAGCTCCCTCAGCTGCTCCTCACCACACTTGGGCTCTAGACCCTTCCCCAGCTTGGTTGCCCTTCTCTGGCCACACTCCAGCTCCTTAAGGTCCTTTTTGGAGTGAGGGGCCCAAAAATGAATCCAGGATTTGACGTTTGGCCTCACCAAAAGAATGACAACATAATAAAAATACAAAAGGAACTTCTGACATGGATTATTCAAAGCAAGGATTTTCAGCAGTGAAAAATCCAGAACTAAGATGTTCATATGAACAACACACTGAAGGCTCAATTTCCTGAACCTTAAATTCCTGACAGCAGGAGTGCTCTGACATTATAACAAATAGATGGGCTGAGATGCAGGTGAGCATTTTCTGGAGTTGCAAATGGGCAAACCAGTATTTTAAATACAGATGGTAAAAAGCTGAAAAAAAATGTACAGTGCTGGAGTAAATTTATTTCAGATATCACTCATATACAGTAGAGGTCTCCTTCCTATAACAGACTTTCCATGCACTTCGTTCTGTATATATCTATTTGGCTGAAAGAAAAAGACATCAAGTTGTATTCATAATACATATGCAGAAGTTTATTACACTTTGTAACCAAGAAACAGACTGAATTTCATGAGAAATATGTCAGCTTACAGGAATTTCTAATGATCAACCTGATGTTCCTTTTCAAATTTAGGAAAGAAAGAAAGAAGATTCCCTTTTATATGTCCCTCTACTTGGACACCTGAAAATTAAGGCACCTGAAATTTTAGTTTCTGTTACGTTTAAGTTCCAATACCATAACTCTTCCTTCAAATCAAGAAAGCAGAGCTTTGGAAAGTTAAACTCACACATTCCATTTCCAAAAGAGATGTGAGAAAAATAACTAAAAGATCTACCTGTGTAACTTTTTGCAAGAGCAAGTTTCCCATCCATCTCTGACGTTTCCGAAGGGCCTGCTTGGGAACAAAGAGAATGGCTGTTAAATTGTGTCTCCCAACCAACACATTCTCCCAGTCCATAGAGGAATTTGCCATGTAAATCTTAACTTCATCTATTATATGCTCATTTCATGCTTTTTGTAATGTTGAAATTAGGGAAGAGTGTGTGAAATGTGAAGGATTTGTAAACCTCTCTTCATGCAGTTCAACAGGATACTGGCAGGGATCTGCATTTCTTGGGCTGCTGAACAGTCAGACTCACACAGAACAGCAGGTTTTCAGGTTTTTTGGTGTTAGTAGACTGATTTCAAAACATGAAATATTGATGGTTCTGGTTTTTTCAATGAATTTTTAATCAGCTAAATCTTTTTCCCCGTTTGTTAAAATTTGTATTCCTAGGGAGTGCTTTTTGACTTTAAAATCTCTACCTACGTTAAAAAGACAAATTCAGAGAGATTAAAATCATTTAAGACACTTGCAGGTTGCTTGCTTTTCATCACAACAGCAATTTGATGGCTATATACAGACTGCTTTAAAAAGGCTGTTGCAGGAAGCAGCACACAAACGACACTTGGAAGATAAAATTAACACTCCCAAAATCCTACTGCTTAATGCTTTGGTACTCCTGCAGTTACACAAAAAAAGAGGCACAAATGGCTTCACACTGAGATCATCCTGCACCACAGACACAGCACAGGGCTAGAAAACCAGCCTGTGTGTGGCACAGGAATGTCATCCCGGGACACACTGGAACAGGAGGATTTGCACTAATTGTCCTGTGTAAATCGCTTCATTTCTGTGTTCATTTGCAACAGCAATCTGCAGAAGATCAGATGGCTCCCCAGGAATTAGGGCTGTTTACAGGTAGGTTTTTAAGTGTATCAGCAATGAATATTAATACCTTCACGACAGGAAACCTATTAGCTAAGCCAAATGAAATGATTTTAAACTCTATTCCACACGCACAGTAAGCAAGAAAACACAGAAAACTGTTGTCACAATCAGACTTCATCAGTACTTCAGTCAACTGAAAATACATATACAGCATCAAATACTATGAGTTATTAAAGAAAATGAATATTTAGCTATTAAAGAAAATAATTATCAGGTAGTTATAATGCTACTATGAGATAGTTCTGCCTAATTTGATTGCTCAGCTTTTCAAAGGGAATTTAAATTAACAGGATTTCAAGTGAGGAACCTCTACAGGGTTTGTTGTTTTACATGCAGCTCTTTCAGTAAGTGCTGCTTTAATCTGTTCCTGTCACTCCTTCTTTGCTGGGAGGGTGGTGTGTGTTTGGTTTTTTCCCTGTATTTCTGTATCACTAAGAGCTGCTCCTTGATTTGGTTGAAAATGCAGCTCCAAAAGGAGTGGTACTGGCATGGTCAAGACACAAAGTCAGGAAAAAGCAGGGGAGGAAAGGGAGGAAGGCAGAAGGCAGAGACACTGGCACTGCTTCAGGTCCCATGAGAAGAAATTCTCTTCTGAACAGTGTGACCTGCAACCACTGTGGGTGAGTGGGGATAGAACCCAGCCTGCCTGGGTGTGCTGGAAAACATCTCCGTGGACTAAATTTGGGTTTATTTCCATAAGCATATTGAGTGCATGCAGCTAGATGGGTAATTTCCTAAGAACTCTTCTGAACATGCAATTATGATAATTCGTAACACACCAACACTCACAAGCATGCATCCCATTATCAGCAAATATCCCACTATAAGCACATATTTTAGTGTTTATTCCTTAATTCAGAAATCTACCAGGATTGTTTTACCTACATACACTGCAGTAGTCTCTATATTGCATTATATTCTTACCAAAGACATGCTGTGACACAAAAAAAGGAAAAATAGGAGTCTTTGACATGTTCAAACTTGAAGAAAGCTTTCTCTAGTTGAAAAGACACACTTACTAAGCTTACAGCCCTTGGGATTAGGCACAGAGAATTCAATCCCTTCATCTTTAATGTCAATAAAAACTACAATGCATGTAGCAAATCCATCATATTTTTTTTTTTAAGTGGCCCACAGATCATTTTATAAAACTTGAAGCTTTCCTTTTTTCATACTATGAATGTTTCCCAGAGGAAAACAGCATAAAAAAAATTGTTAAGAAATTAAAAAGTATGAAACAATATATTCTGCTAGTTTGATTTAATAAAGGCTAGAAAATTAGATTTAAAAGAATTTTGAAAGTTCTGCTGTTGAAGACTAACTTTAAAACTTTACTTGTACAAAGGGTCTCATGGTCTGTAATGGGGGAACCCACATGCAGCAGGTAATTAATTTCTCCAGTTAGCAAAACAAAGAAGTAAAAGAGTTACCATGGCCTTGTGAGACATGATTTGGTGGAGAATAAGGAACCAAGAGATACCCACACGTTCACTTCATCAAGAAACTATGAAAAGCCAACAACAGGGCCTTTGAGAAAGAGCTCAAAAAGACAGACACTTCTTTACCCTCTTTTCAGACAACACTACCACCAGAAGGTACCAACAGAAGCAGATACATTTCCACTTTACTGAATTCATGCACATAACAGGCAGAGATACACACATGTCTCATTACTAAGATAAGGAAAAACCAAATCCAGTGGTAACCACATCAAAAGAAGTTCTATCTAGGAATAAAAATGAAGAAAAAAAAGAAAAAAAAAAAAAGAAGAAAGCTCAGCAAAAACCTTAATTCTACTGCAGCAGATAGGATGGACACAAAAGTGGGAGATGTAATTACTAAAACCCCAGGACACTTTAGAAGTAAAATCTTACAGTTGGGTTATGTCTTGGGAGTCTGAAGTTAAGATGTGTAGGCAGAGCTAAGTAACATCATCTTGTACCAGAAAAAGCACCATACACACTCTTCAGCCAAGAGACAACTCTTCTACACAACACAGACACTCAGAAATCCCAGAACACTCAGAGTAAAACTTGGTGTTCCACGAGAAGTGTCGTGGTTGAGACCCAGCCAGGAGCTGGGCACCATGGTGCCACTCACTCATCCCCCAACACCCCCTGGAATGGGAAGGAGAAAAGGGAGGAAAAAACCCAAAACCCCGTGGGTTGAGATAAGGAGAATTTAATACAACAGAAACGGAGCAATAAAAAGCAGGAATAAAAATAACAGTAGTCAACTGATATATATAAAGTAAGTGATGGAAAGCACAGACCACGTTAGCTCCGAATGGACACAAGCAGAGGAATGCCCACAGACCACTGCCCCTGAACCATGTGGGTTGGGATTCTGCACTTAAGGGAAGCCTTTGGAAAAGATGGCTATTGCCAGAAATCCCACATTTTCTAAATGCCTCTTCAAAAGAGGTAATTTTTCACATTCTAACAATTCCTTTCAACCAAAAGTAGATGCCATTCCATCAATGGACATGGCTATTCCTTCTACTTATCCTCACAAAACCCATCTACCTACACTGAGTCAGCCTCAGCCAGCTTCCAACAGTTTATGTCCCAACACTACACAGCCAAACCTGTGCCACTTGGCAGGAGGAATGGATTTATCAACTCACAGAGCAGCAGCAGCAGCAGCAGCAGCACTTGCCTTTCTGGCCTTTTTTTTCCACTATATCTGTAGTAGCAATGTGACATGTAACTATCAGATTAACACCAGAACGTCTTTAGAACTCACAACATTGTTCTTGCCTGTTTCCTCAATGTATTCTCTTGAGTTTCTTGCTTTAAGATAGTATCTACACTCTGAGTCTTACAGGACAGTGCTCACAGCACTGCCAGCCTAGCTTTACAGTTTTAGTCTCCAAAAAATGGACTTCCAGTATTCTGGGAGATCTCCAAAGAGGAAATGTTTTGTTGTTAGAGACATATTGGAAGACATTCATGACTTCCAGTGTTCCAGAGTGAGAATAAATGCAGTCTACATTCAATTTTTTTTTGGCAGAAGGTATTTTCAATCTCATTTGGTTTTGGCTCAATCTCCTGGGTTTTAACTGCTTCACTAACGCTTCCAGAAATTCCAGAACTGGTAGCACTGTTCAACCACATGATGTTCTAAAGAGAAAAGATGTTAGGCAGTTTTTACTCAGTTCTAAGTGGTTTACAGGCTAATCCAGTCACTTCCTCAGACAGTGGTTTCTGAGCTGAGTCAGCCCATTCAGAGGACAAGCTGTTTACAGCCTCTTCCTTCCGCTTCCCCTTCTCTTGGTTTTCACTTCAAGGCGTCAGTGGTTACTGCAGACCTGGATCCACAAAATTCACAAGACAACATATGTCTTTCAGGAAACGTTGGGTCCTTAGTCAGCAAATTACTCAGTTCTGCATGAGCTATGTGTCCAAAAAGCCCTGCTTTACTCCAGGCTGAAGAAGACAGAAGGTGGTGCACAACTCCCTGAAATTTTCTTCACGTCTTCCTGCTTCTTTGTACATTGAAAATAAAAATAAAACAATTAAAATGGATAGCTCTTAATTCTGTTCTGTTAATTGATTCAGAGCTGGTCTCCTTCTGGCACTGGTATTTTGACCCCATACTTCCCATCAAAAGCCTTCAGGGTGGTCAGGTTCTTGCAGACAGCCTTCTGGTGAGAAGCCAAGATGTGTATCTTACTGTCCAACACATTTGTGCACCAGCTGAACAGTCCCCTGGATGCAAGGAAGCTGGTACAGAAGCCAGCAGGATTCACAGACACTGAGATGCTTTTGCAGGGACACAGTACAGAAGACAAGCCCTGCTACCTGGCTTTAGGATCAGGCCTTGCCCTCACCCAGCTGCTCTGGAGCTCTGGCAGAAGCGAACGCTGGTCCCCCTGCAACAGCCATGGAAACAGAGCTACTCCCACAGCACAGCAATGCTCTGAATCACAGACTGGCTGAGGTTGGAAGGGACCCTAGAGATCATCTCATCCAACCTCCTGCCATGGGCAGGGACACCTCTCAACCAGACCAGGTTGCTCAAGGCCTCATCCAGCCTGGCCTTGAACACCTCCAGGGAGGGGCATCCACAGCCTCTCTGGGCAACCTAGTCCAGAGTCTCACCAACCTCAGACTGAAGAACTTCTGCCTAACATCCAGTCTAGACCTGCTCTCCTCCAGTTTAAAACCATTTCCCCTTGCCCTGTTGCTGGACACTCTTGTGCCAAGTCCCTCTCCACCCTTCCTGGAGGTTCCCTTCAGGTATTGGAGGCAGCTCTAAGGTCCCCCCAGAGTCTTCTCTTCTCCAGGCTGAACAACCCCAGTGCCCTCAGCCTGTCCTCCCAGCAGAGATGCTCCAGCCCCTGGGTTATCTTTGTGGCCTCCTCTGGACTCATTCCAACAGATCTGTGTCCCTTTGATGGTGGGGACACCAGAACTGGATGCAGTATTCGAGGTGGGATCTTACAAGAGCAGAGTAAAGGGGAAGAATCACCTCCCTTGATCTGCTGGCCACACTCTTCATGATGCATCCCAGGATAATCTGAGTGCACAAACTGCAGTTCAAGGATGAAACCACATTTTAACCATTAAACTAAGAAAAAAACATTTTAACTAAATGTTTCTTTTCATAAGAGCCAGAATAACTGGTGCTTGTAGATAAGGCACATGCAGGAATACTAACTACAATACCTGGAAGGCTCTGGTAGGAGTTGCTAAGTCCTGCAGATCTCTACTCAGTCCTTTTCAACAGTCAACAAGTTTAGTCAACAGCTAAAATCTGGAACTTTCTTCCAGAACAGGTTGTCTTTGGTGTCAACCCAAAGCATTTAACACTGCAGTGACCTTTACACTTGTCCAGAATAGTGGAAAAAAACCCACCCACTGCTATCCTGCTAGTGCCCACTGACAGAAAATTGCCCCTAATACTCTGTCAAAACACCCACGTCAAGTTTTTGATGGCTGAAGTCCCTATTTCTCAGCCTTCTTACTGTGTACTGCTAAACCACTTCTAAATTTACTAATGCAGTATTAACTCATGGCACCATCCAAACATTGCAACCTAGTAGGAGATAAGAAGAGATGAAAAGAACATCCACCTACAAGTGTCATTTTCCCCGTTTGATTAGCACAGAATTTTCACAGACAGGGCTTTAGTCAGCACTGCAGACTTGGGAGAAAAAGCAAACACCCAGAGAAAAATAATAACCATGAAATTTCACCAGGAAATCATTTTCTCCAGGAAGCCCCGGGCACATTGTTGTTCTCTAACAGTTAAGTTGTTGCTTCTCCTAAATCGATGAGCCCAGCTTTTGCTGCAGGGTATTTTTAGTGAGAACTGTGACCCTAAGCCCTTCTCTTTCTTCTGCAGCAGGTCTCTACAAAGACAATGCTTGGGCAGCCTTGTGTTCTTCCTCAGGAACACACCTCGGGGTAACTGCACTTTTCCAAGGTTCACGGCAGCATCCACCCCACACAAACCCTTCTGTGCCTCTTGAATTTACAGCTCTCTGCACCTCGTACACCCTCCAGCTTGAATCTGAGCAGTGGCAACTTGAAGAAACAAAGGGGAACTGCTTTACTCCAGGGAAGGTGGCATGACTTGACACCATCTCTTTTAGCTCGCAGCTCTCCATCATTTTTACCAATATATATTCAGTTTTCTCTTGTTTTAAATACAAATTTGAAGGACTACATTGGGAGGGAGGGGAAGTGAGTTACTAACCAAGCACCATCTTCTCTGAAAAAGATACATCTTGCTCTTCACCCATCAAAATATTTAATGTCTTTTTCTGTAAAAGACAACAGAAATTCCCCCTCCCCACAATCCACACTGCCTAGACTTCACTGTGGAAGAATATTGCAGAAATGAGGGGTTTTTTTTAGCCCAGATGCTGCAGTACAATGGGTTACTATTTTGGAAGGAAGCAATTTCAGCACAGCCTCTCTTCAAACAGCATTGGATTACATTTTGGGCTACTGGCCAAATTCTGACATTGTTTTTAAGCATGAAATGGAAAGCCACAAGGGGACAAAAAGCAAAAAGATGACAGGACTTGGCTTTGGGAGGAACAAAGATTATGTTATCTGCAAAAAAAAATCTATTTTTAATATATTACATCATGCCTGTAAACCCCCTTCCCATGAGGTTAGGCAATGTACAGATACAAAGAAAAACTAATCCTAAGAGCAGAGAATCCACTTCCCAGTTCCTCCCTTGAGCAGTGACACTTTGCTACACTGTGTGGTTATGGTCTCTAAACTGTGCTCATACACTGCTTGAGACATGCCAGCACAAAAACATCAGCTCTACAACCCTGCACTCAGTTATTAAAGCACATTAGAAAACAATCTCAAGGATCTTTGTGTTTAAACACCCACAAAAATGTTATCTCCATAACATATAACATTACAAAGCAGAAGGATGTGCTGGTTTGCACTCCACTGTTGAGCATGCAGTATCCTTCAGAGCTGTGTGGCAGCTTGCCTGTGTTCCTCTGTATTGCTCAATTAACCTAATGACAAATACAAACAGGCTGAAATAAATAAATTTAGGGGTCTAGTTATTTTATATTGCCATTTATAACCACAACTTAATTACTCTTCATTTCAACCTATAGAAACACATTTCAGCCTACAGAAATAATTATTTCTTTTTTCCACTCCTAATTGAGGTTAACATGAGGATTAACTGGGTACATAGAGATGAGGCAAAGCAATGAGAGATACTGTGAAACATAAACAGAGTCCAAGTTGTTATGCTATGTCTATATAAATAAACCACACAAGAAAAGGGACTGATACACTGTAGAAGTTAATAAACCTTTAGTCTGAAGAAAAAATTCAAGCAGTGCTCTAGACAGCATCATTAGGGTGCATTTCCTGTTTAAAGAGGCCACTGGAATTACAGTCTGCATACTAGATCCTCAGAAAAAAAAACAAGCAGTTCAAAAGACTCCTGGAATTCTTCCTTCAGTCCAAACACACACATCTGGTATGCTGAAGCTATACTTTAGTTCTTTTGGTAGTCTTTAGAATAACTTAAATGGTAGCTAGCATGAAAATGTTGCATCCTAACAGAGCTAAATAACTGCATGTTTAATGATGAAGTAAAAAGAGAGGCACAGAGAGAGTAACACTTAAGCAATCAACCCTTTCATGAGAGAAACACATATGAAAGTTAGCATCATTACCAGGAATATTATATTGATAGTAGTCAGGATCATCTGACTCCTCCTTCACAGTCACTGTTGTCATTTCCAAAGAAATCCCTGTAGAAGAAGCAAGGGAATCAAATATGGAAACTAATAATAACCAGACTCTTAAAAAAAGCCACACAAAACGTCAACTAAGAACCTAGCTGCCCTCTAGTCAAAAAAAAGAAGAAAAAAAGATTTTCAGGTGCTGAGACACTAAAGTGCTGAGCTAAAACAATGGTAAGAAGGTGATTTGCTGGTTTATTTTTGAGTTTGGTTGCCATCAAAAAGAAGGAAAGAAGATCTTCAGGTGCTGAGACACTAAACAAGTGCTGAGCTAAAACAATGGTAAGAAGGTGATTTGCTGGTTTATTTTTGAGTTTGGTTGCCATCAGAAGGGATTACAGAGTAAATGCTTCCCTCTGAAGTAGGCACCCTTGCAAATGCTATCTGGGATCTGAAGAATGTAAATAAATAAATAAATAGCCTCCTTCCTTTTTGCCCACTACCTTAGCCCAAAAAAAGACATTTTATCACTCGTGCTGAAAGTGCTCCTAGACCTGAGTCTGCTCATTGCTCTGTACAGCCAAGCTCAGACACAGCCTGCATCAAACCGTGCTGTGATGGAGCAACACCAAAGCTCCTCAACTGCTCTTGGCTGCCTTCAAGTGAACATTCCCTCCATAAGCCCTCACAGCGTTCCCTAAAGTGTTTCCAAAACATTTGACAGAAGGAGAATTACTTAAAATGCCTAAAAAAGCAGCACTGGAAAGAGGCTGGGACTGACTGGACCAAAAGCTCAAGTCAACTCTTTGCGTAGATCGAGTTTAAAGCTGCAAAGCACAAAGAGCTACAGAAAAAAAGCCAGACTAATATAAAAACTTCATTCTCAGACAAAAAGCTGAGCAGTGTGGCCCAACCCACCACAAGGGAAAGTCACCAGCTTATCTCCAAGCACACACCTGCTGTCCTACTGGTTTAATGGGATTATTCACGCCACACGCTTATCCACGGCTCTACTGCAGATCACAGTGCCTTGCAGGATCACCTCCTACCTGCAGGGGAACTCTGGAAGGCTTGGGCATTTTGTAAACAATAAATAAGGTATTTTGCTATTTTTTATTTCTTTATTTCCTTTTTAGCTAAAAAATGGACATGTTGTGACTTTCAGTTTTTTAGCGGTATCAACAAATCAACCAATTTTCTTCTATCCCCATTAGGGACAAAGTGATCTTGAATTAGAACAAAATAAAAACCAGAGGATTTTCTTCTTCTCCACTTTATTTACAAAGATAAAAGGTTTTAGTCTGCAAAATTGTACAGATCTCTCCCTTCTAGAAATGGGAACATTTAGCTAAGGTTCAATGCTTGATAAAAACTCCAACTGAAAAGTGGTCAGTTCTAAGGAAAGAAAAGTTTTCCCTTCTCACAAAGGATGGCTTTTTGCTGCTTTTTTTTTTCTTGGAGCTTCCTCTCTTTTCTTAAATTCAGCCTTCAGAACAGAAACTGATCATTTCTTTTGCAAATAAGGGTAAATTTTTGAACTTACCAGAATCCTCGTTTGGTTCGGTTTTCACTTGAATAGGAGGACAACTACAAAAATAAACAAATCAAGAACATTTTATAAACAAAAACAAGTATCACATTTCAAATAAACTCAATCTCCCAGTAGTTTTTTCCAGGTAGGAACACAAAAGTAAAAAAACCTTGCATCTTGGCTTATCTAATTTATCTCAAGGGAACTGCCAGGAATCCTACACTGTCAGGACATACACAATAATCCCAGGGTGTTTACCCCTTAATGAGAAGTAAACTGAGAAGCACAGAAAACTGATCCCTGTTTTCACATTAACCAATTTTTGATTCATTCCAGATATGATCTCTTAGTTTACTAACACAAAAAAATTACATTTGTTTTTTTAATTGAGGAGGGGGAAGGAAGCAACATTACATCTGTTCCCCATCGCTGCTGTATCATAAAACATGACAAACTTGTCCCTGACTGGCAGATTGTGAATTAAGAACACTCATTGGGCTAATTAAACCGAGGGGAAACTTTGCCATCTGTTTAATTCCTAACAGTTTCCCCACAAATAACGGTCTAAAGAAAGAGAAAATTCAGCTTCGTGCATTTTATGATCCCAGGCAAGGAAAAGTTATCCAAAGGTCAACCTGGCAGAAAAAGTACATTAAGATAAACTATCTGAAAACACATAGTTGGTACAAAAAACTACATTATTTTACATTCACCTTCCACCTGGAGGTACAACTGAATGAGAAGGATCCGTCATATGAGCTCCTGAAAGTTAAAAGACAGTATTTGAATTTCCTGTATGGCATTTACTTTAAATCCAAATAGAAAACGTAACATTGATTTCAGGAAGTGAAAACCTGTGCACATTTTACAAGCATATGGGCATATCTTCTGTATAAAAGCTCTCATTAAACTGCTTGATTAATCTACAAAGCACCACCAATATAAAGTTACTTCAGATGTGTATTTCACCATGATTTTCACTGCTTCCTTTCCTGATGCTCAGTGAAAGTCTTGGGAAACAAAGGTAAACAAATCTTTCAGCTAAACTCTGCTAAAAGAAAACAGCTGGTTTTACAGAGACTCAGCTTAGTCCTAATTTACAGCTACATACAAATAAATTATGGTTTTAGAATGTCATTTACCACACTGAAAACCTGCCTTGTCTTTTCAGTAGAAATAGATTATTACCATCATCTCTGCAATCTCCTACTCTCTGGTTTTCTTACTGGGTACAGGCAACACAGTTCTAATTTTATTAATCCAGCATCAACTCCTGGCTGTGAAAAGTGAAACTTCTCATTTTTGACTACCTTCCTGTAGAGATTGTGTCATCCTCTTGATAAAGAAAATAGTCATATTCATGAATTTTCTACGTAAAGTGACATGATCTCATAAAAGGAAGAAACAGAAGAAAGGATTGCCTCTCAGGCAGAAGTGATTCTTTGTGGAGTTTAAAAAAAACCCTCACTCTAGGTCAGACTTTTCTTTAATACCTAGAGGCTTTCATAGAAACTACACCACCTAGCCACTTCAGAAGATTAAATAATTTTTTTTAAAACATTATATAAATGCCAAAATTGCTATGTGTTGGAACAGAGAACACTGCAAATTTGGCATCTTCTAAAAATGCAGTGCAGCCCTTCAACAGTTCACCACCTTTCCTTAAGATACAAGCCAGCTCACATTAAATTTAAATTCAGAAAAAGGATGAAGAACACAATAGAAAATTTTTCTCTCTCATTAGTTGTTCCTGGCAGAATGCATACAGGAAAAGGTTACAGTGCCCTAAGTAAGGCAGCTCAGTCTAGGAATTTCTGCACAATTTACCACTTCACCCCCATGACTAAATGTTGTACTTTTCACTGCTATGTAAACTAAAATTCTGATCTGTTTTGGATTAGTCTGAGTAAGAAGTAACTTACCTAGGTGTTTCTTTGGCTCCAGGAAAGGCCTGTGTGGAAATATGGAAAGAAAAGCCCATAGCTTTAGCAAAGCCATCATTATTTGCTTGATAGTGTAACACTGAAGGAAGAGCACTCCTGTTTGAGAGACACAGGCTGCAATGCACTTAATTAAAAAGTAAATGCACTTAATCTAAGTAAATCCACCAAAGTGGACAGAGCAGCACAAGAGAGAGCAAATAACCTTTTGATGATAAATGAGATCCCTGATTTGTTTTCCAGAATCCATTTTAGGGTTGAGATGTCGTAGTTGGCTGGATGTTTAAAAGCAAGTCCTTCAGGCAGGCCCTGCACTACCACAGCAGACTGGTCCCTCTGAATCTTCTCATATGGCACAGGCACCACTGTTGACTTCCCTAAAGCTTTACCTAGAGTGAAAAAAACACAACAAAACAAACCCAAGAGATTGTTTTGAGGTCAAGAATGCTCAGGTTAGTGAAAGGATGAGTCTCCCATAAAAGTTTTTACGTTGGAGAGGACTGAAGCAAAACCAAGGTGCAGACCCAGATCTCTACAGGAAACCAAGAACTGCTCACATTAACATGCCCCTGAACCCACTGAGACACAGAGGTTGTCATGAAAGAAAACTAAATGGCTGTGCTGTGCAATCATCTCAAATCACATCCCAAAAAAATACCAAGAAGAAAATTACCCAATTTGATGTGTGTGTTTTAGAATCAGCTGCTCAGAAGTTAAACCTCTCACTTTAACAGCAGTACAGCTGGAAGGCAAAGTCGTGCAGTACCTTCCTCCCAACTGGAATAAAAATTCAGAAATCCACAACAGCTACTTAGATTTAAAGCACCCACCATAGCAAAAGCAGAAAAAGTCCTCCACAGACTTTCTGAGAGCTTCCAGTTCCACAGCATTTACTGTCAGTCTGTTTACAGCTGGTGCAGTCTTTGTTCTCTGCAGTTCTGCAGCTCCCTCCTGTTCACCTGGTAGGTATTTATAAAAATAAGACAAAAAGAAAATAATTTATTAAACTTCTCAGTACCTAGTCCATCCAGTTTAGACAACAGGCACTTGGGAAGCAATTCCTGTCAGAAAATCATATGATCTTATTTGGCTTAGAAGTAAATGCATTTATCTATACGTACGTGAGCAATGAGTAAATTTAAATTTAAACCAAAATTATTACATCCTCCTTTACAACCTTTGAAAATATCACCCTCTGAGCTGTAGGAATGATGAATTAAGAGACATATGCAAGCAGGCTATTTTTGGCATGAAGAGGTAGAAAACACTCATCTCAGGAAATGATAATACAGCAGAAAGAAAATGCAAAACTGCCATGAAAGAAGGACCAAGAAAGTCATCAGGAGAAAAAGTAAAATGCCTGTGTGGAGGATCCCATAGCTCTCCAGTGCTTTGTGTGATGTCTTAGGCAGCAGTGATGTTACACCCTGTTTTGTGCATGCTGTACTTGGCTAAAATTCGACCTGAGTTTGCCACAACAGCTCCCTTATCTTTCAAAGGACCTTTCAAGTACACATTTCTTATTGCCAAATAGGAGTTGCAAACAAGCCATCATTAGGTGGAAGAGAGAAGATTTCAGCCCAACACCTTGTTCCAGTCTCTGAGCAGAAGTCTTTGCAGAAAGAGGGAGGAAACAACAATGGTTTCAATATTAAAAGCAAAGGGAAGCGATGGGTTCTGGTGGCAGCTGTCCTTTTATTGTTCAGTTCTTGCAAATACTTACTGAGAATCAGTGAATAATCAAAAACAAGGAAAACCAAGAGATATGAATATGAAAGGAAAAGCAAGGGAGGTCTGTGTTCTACCTGCAAGACATTGATGGGCACTGAAGTTGATTGATGACAAGAGACATCAGTTTCCATTTATAGCTACGTGCAATGTCTCTTTCTGGGTGGGTTTTTTTGCCCACATAAGAGACTGAATCACCAAAATTCCCTTTGCTGCCAGGATTTGCTCAAAAACATACCCACACTTTCTAAAAATAATAAGCAAAACAAAAATAAAATGGCAACACTGCTCAATTCCCATAAAAATGAAAAGCAGACAAAAAGACATTGAGATTTTTCTTCTCAACTAGAACTCCAGATTGTTGGTTTTATGACATGATTTTTATCAATTTCCTTAAGCTCACATTATGCATCTGCCTCCCTCACCTCTCCCACATTTTTTGGCCAATTTCAATCAAGTCTGCCAAACACAATCAAGCCTCAAACACAGTAAGATTTAGAAGAGCTCTGCACAGCTGACCAAAGCCATTCCTCTCCTCCTGACAGCACTGACAGACACATCTCCACTTGCTGGAGGTCACACAACTCAGAGGCTCTGCAGAAGTCCCCACCACGATTACTAGAGCTCCCAGCAGGATTCAGGCTGTGTTTAGGAGGGGATGCCTGGGACACGTGCAACAAAACCTGAAGGGTGAGGAATCCCCAGCTGTCACCATCCTTATGA